AGAAGATCAGTATGCAACCACTCTAGTCCATGTTGATGCTGCTATTAAAGAAAAACATCAAACTGAGTTCAGGCGATAAAAGGTGATGTTTCATCAAGATAATGCAAGACCACCTACATCTGGCATTCACCGGCTGGGCTCTATATGGACTTGAATGCGATCTTTTACCACACCCACAATATAGCCCTGACATTGCTCCTTTAAACTTCTACCTTTTTTTTTACACTTGCAGCTAGATCTTGGTGGTGCTATCATCTATTCTGCACAGAATGTTCAAAATGAGGTTGATCTGTTTTTGGGCTTGCAGCAACCAAGTTTTTGACTGAAGGCTTTGAAAAACTACCAAAATATTGGCAGAAAATCATGGATTTGGGTGGTGATTACTACCCATTCTAAAGGTACTGCTTTCATGTTTTTCCCATAACTTTAACCTTCTAGCATACGCGCTTCACACTTTTTACGACATCTGTTATTTTACCGTTTTTGGCACGAGAAACGATAGAAATGAGGAAATATTAATAATGAATTTGTTAAGAAATAAAATAGGAACAAAATGTTAAGAACTGAATCTCTGTCTGAGTATTTGCCTTTTATCAAACTTATATATTTATTTGTACATTTTAAAATTTCATCAAGCATATTTATATCAATTATTTTCAAAAATGATTGTATCTCATTCTCTATATACTTGGCATGGTGTTTTAGGCTGGGTAACACTTTCTTACTATTCATCTTTTTCATCTTTAAGTAGTTTGCATACTTCTGTCTTCGCTACTTAGAATATTTATTCTTACCAACATAGAACATATCATCATCATTTCTTTTTTCTATATCATTATTATCATCATCATCCAAAATATTGCTAAGATTCACTGCTGATATTATTTATATCAATATTTTCCTTGCTCAAATTGCTGTTATTCTTACATCCAAAGGTTTCCTTATCTTCTTTTCCTTCATCAGATAATTCTGCATCAGCTGGTTGCACAATTTTTTTACATGAAAACCAATTTAAAAATTATAGAGTAGAATTTATACAAATTAAAATAATACACACCAGTTAAGTACAAAAAACTACAAAATATTTAAGAAAAAAAATATTTTCCAAATTTAACCCATGACCTACGAATTAAGAAGAAACTGCCACATAGCACAATAGCTCAGTAAAAAAAAAAAAAAAAATCACATGACTTCCTGTTGGCACATTCCATGGTGTGAGGAAGGGTTGATAGGAGGAATAGAAATCACATTTAGACATCTCAGCTGCAATATGTGCATTAAAAAACTGACTTTGCGCATAACGCACGTGCTGGAAGGTTAAAAATGATTTTTGGCAAAAAACTTTCATTAGAACCAGATAATTTGGTGCCCTTTCAAGTTACTGACCTGAGGCATGTTCCTCAAGTGCCTCACCGTTGTTCAGGTTCAGGCTCTGTGTTACTTGTTGTTATGGCAGATAGTTCCATTTCATCTAGTATTGAATGAAAAGGGGGGGGCAAATAAGCAAAAATGCATGGCATGGACATTTTATTGGAAAAGCACCAAATTTATTTCAAACCTGCATTTTTTTCTTATACAGTAAATGCTGAAAAGTTTGTGAAATACCAAATTACGGGTATGAGAAAATTCCGAATAGTTGAGGGTATAAAAAAATGGAATTCATATTAGAAAAGCCAAATTAATGAGAAAAAAAAATATATCCAAAATTATGAAAACAATCATCTTATTTATTATCAACTTGAATATCAAAAGACTACACTTAAAATTCTGAAAAAAAAGAATTACATTTCAGTGTAATAAGAGCTGACATATTTCATAGGCTTGATAAGATTACGAAATTATGCCGAACAGGAAAGTTGATGGGGATATATCATATCTGTCAATCATACCGACAGAAGTTTAAATGAACATCACTCTTTATTTAGTTAATAATAAAGCAATACAAGTTATTGATATAGCATTGAAAAAACTTAAATCGCTCATCATAATTTCACTTTACATCATCGTTTATCCATTTTCAGAATTGCATATCATGGCTTGTTCAATGCCCAGATTCTGTAACTTGGAAAATACTTCTTTGTATGCAATTCCAAATATTAATAATTTTTTTCAAAATGCAAGAAAAAATCTTTATATCCTTCTTTACAAGAATAAAACCACTTTATCGAGATGTAATTGAATTTACATTCATCAAAACGAATTTATGCCTCTATTATGATGTCATTTTTATACATTATTCCAGCTAAATCTCACTGTTTGCAACAATGTACACTGCAGAAAAAAAGGGACAGTTTCTATATCTCCCGTTCTACTGGGCCGATTGACGAAATTCAACTTGTTTCTTATGTCTCGAAAGCATGACTTAGGATATATATTAGATTTATATATAGCATTGTTCTAAGATAGGTATTTTGACACTAAATCGGACTTTTTCTGAAATGACAGGCCAATCCCGCCCATATTTCGATTCTACAATTCAAATTATGTCAAACTGCTAAGTTTCATAAAAATTGCATGAGTAGTTTTTAAAAAATTAGCTCTCAAAATTTTAGCTCCTCAATATGAATTGAATTTAGTATATATTTATTAATCTGTCTTTTTTAATTAAACTTATTTGTTTCTTGCTTTCACATTTCGAAATTTAGATTCTTTCCAAATAAAATTCGTCCATTTTTTATGATTTACTTTTAAATAATTTTTATTAATTTTTCGAAAGACTTTTGAATTATAACCTATACAATTTTTACAATCATCTTAACCCTCTAAGCGGCTAGGGTTTTCGCTAAGGAAGCACAAATTTCCCAAAACTACTATGAGAATAAATTATTATTATTATTATTATTTTATTTTAATGTAAAACCTCTCCTGATATTTCATACCTGGATTTGTGTACTTTTGATATATTGCCTTAATTTCTTTGACATATTTTTATATGCATGTATGTATACATTCTTACAGATATGACAAAAAATATTCTAGGCCGTGTATATATATATGGCCTTACCTCTTTGAGGGTTAGTTAAAGTAGACGTATTTCTAAGCATGCCTGCAAAAAATTAGAGTTTTTTTATTCAAAATTGCCGAAGCTATACGAGAATTTATATATTGGTGCATTTTGAAATTTGGCATATTTGTTAAAAGGGGATAAAACATCAAATGTGATTTAGGCACTTTCTTAAAATTATCTGAAAGTAGGAACGATGTGACTTTCCCCTCTCGGGTACAATGTAAAAAGGGAAAGGAAAATAGGTTGCCACAAATTTAGAAGTTCACCAAGTGAATTATTCTTGATGCAAACTGAAAAAAAAAAAATGTGGCAAGATAAGTTTTTGAATTTCTGCATTAATTTTGCACCAAATTTTAGAAAATTTAATATTTAGGCATAATTTGTGTTGTAGAATCGAAATATGGAAAAAAATTGGCATTTCATTTCAGAAAACATCCTAATTTGTATCAAAATCCCTATGTTAGAACAGTGCTATATATAAATCTAATACATATCCTAAGTCATGCTTTTGAGACATGAAGAATGCAGTTTGGATTTTATTAATGGGCCCAGTAAAACGGGAGATGCTTTTCTAAAATATTGTGGTTAGTTGAATGCCAGGTAGTTGAGCTTTTACCATGCTGAAATTCAAGTATGTTTTATTTATTGAAATGAAAATATATGAAATAAAAATAGCTAACCTGCTTTACAATTTTCATTAGAGAAAGAATTTAGTAAATGAAAACAAGTTTAATATTTGTTGAAAAACAACCAACAGAAAATATTATGGTAAAAGTATATTTTAAGGCAGTACATGGGTACCGACTTTGTGCAATTCTTTGACTTGTGCAGCAACAATTTTTGTGCCAAAAATCACTGCTACACAAAGCCAAAATAACAAAAACAAATTCAAAATCCATGTACACGTCAACCTTTTCACTTAAAAAAAAAAAAAAAAAATCCCATAATTGCAAAAAAATGGCATTGTGCACTCCTTTTATCCATGTACACATCAAACTATTTTCACTTTGAAAAACATCAGGGAATTTCACAAATTAGGCTAAATCGCTGCTAGACCAAAAACAACATAACAAGACAAAGAATTGCACAAACTCTCTATCCATGTACACATCGACTTATTTTCACTTAAAAAAAAAAGTCCCAGAATTGCAAAAAAAAAGGACATTGCACACTCCTTCGACTTCATCCATGTACACATCAACCTATTTTCACTTAAAAAAAATCAGAGAATTGCACAAACTATGCCTTACGCACACCTTTGAGTTTATTCATATACTCATCGATATATTTTTACTTAAAAAGTCGAAGGAGCACCCAATTCTACGGTAGAGGCAAACATAAAAATACATCACCTTAATAAACTACATTTTAAACCAAAGAATAAAATAACATAAAAAAGGAAAAACCTGTTATGTATTTTAACACTACACAAAGCAAATATCCACTTATTTAGAAATTCGTTCGTCTTCAGTCTGTGGCACGCAAAATTCCTTTTACAGCATCCAAAAACTTCCTAAAATTATCTGAACTAGAATCCGTATATTAGTGTCGCCACATAAATTCACAAAAGTAAGAGTAAAAAATATACTATGTAGTTCCGGACTGTCCGGAAAATGGCTACTAAGTAAACCTTCATTTACACACCAGTCAATCAATGCACTTTTCCCCTTTCATTTCAAATCGTATAGAAACTTGAAATTAATTGTACTACATTCAGAATTATACAGTCTAAACAATGATAAACAATGCAAGCACTTCAAAGCCCTGCAAAACATCCATGATCAAATTTCCCAGAATAATGCAACTGATTGCATCATAATAGGGTTTCCATAACATTCAACTACTCAGGTTACCATAAATGATACAACTTGGCGATAAATGAAATAACAACTTCACGATAATACAAAGAGTACCGTAAAGTCAACTCTAACAACCGATATTAGATTTGTTAAAGAATGTATGCCCATTTTAAAATCTTAATATTATCTTTTAGCCTCAGATCAAAGTCATTTACCAATCAATGTGGAACCGGGTCTTTTTGAATGGTTGTATTGGTACAAAGAAAGCATGCCTGCTTGGATGAGCTTGGAAGAATTACGCTCGTATGCTTTCAACGTATCCTTGGACTATAAACCAGTGATCCCTGCTGTAAGTCTTTTAAGCTGTCAAGAGACTTGTGAGGAGTATTATATGAGAAGCTATTTGGTTACTTCTAAACTTCTAGAAAATTATTCTGGTAAGTGTAGAATGTTTAACTTTGAAAAGGATTTTAAACTGACCTCTATTTGTTTAGCAAAATTATTGTGTTTTGCATCTAATGTTAATTGTAAATGCCATGTATGCTGTATGCAGTATGCTAATTTTGTTGCCTTTAGACATGCCTGTGTAATCTCTTCTTTCATTTTTTTTGTTGCTGCATCATCCTATTTGTCTCATCACTAATCTTTCACATGGCGTGCCTGATTGGTACTTGGATCATACAGAAATGATTCACACAACGGCTCTCACTACGAAACTATTACACTATGTGAAGGGAAAACAAGTGAAATAGACACAAGGGGGCTGAGCTTCTCAGAATGCATAGATGGAGCTGTCTGCAAGCGAATGGTATAAGTCAGCGCCTGTCTCATTTCATTGCTTGACAAGATGAAGGATATAGTCAGGGAACAACATGTTGAATATTCTGCTGAATTGCATGCAGTTGTCCATAGGTGAGGCACAACACCCCCACCGACTCATTTACCAAAGCCCTTCGGGAGTGTAGACAGCAATGATGGAAGGTGATTATCATGGTCAGCATTGGACAGTGTGGCTCCTATGGAAGGAAAGGATACAGGGTAGTGAGATCCATCGTCACATGGTGTCATTTTGCATAACAAACAAAGCCCCCTCAAGCACAAAGGACAACAAAGCACCCTCTAGGCTTACTGTATCCCATTGGTTGGCAGTGGAGTGGAGACCACAACCAAAGGTGTCCACGCGGGATGACCAGCAACATCACATACAGCAACAAATGTGGCAGCCGTGTTGGATTTGATAATGGCGAACAGGCATACAACGTTCAACAAGATGCAGGAAGAGACAGGGCTCGCACAAAAAAGATTGCAGGCGATTGTGCATGATGATTTGGAGATGACAAATGTGTGTGCAAAGGGGGTGGACCTTGAACCAAGACCTCGGAGTACATCATGATTGACAAGATGAAGGATGCAGTCAGGGGCCAACATGTTGAATCTTCTGCCGAATCGCATGCAATTGTCCATAGGTGGTGCACCAACACCCCACAGACTGGTTTACCAAGGCTCTTTGGGACCTCCCAGCCAGATGGCAGAAGTGTATTGACATGGGTGGGGATTATTTCCAACTGATGTACTGTCAGTTTTTTTGGTAATAAATTGTATTCTACTCTGTAGCAGCATTTGTGTCATTCATTTCTGTACGACCAAATAATTCGTAGCTACTCCACATAGCATATAACTTTTCAACTGTGCATTCTAGCAAATTACCAGTTTTGAGCGATTTTGCATTTTACTGGCATGAGATCTTAATATAGAACAGCAACCCATCTGAGAACTGACAATTTGCCAGACTATATGAATATGCATGTAAAGATAAGTTACTTTGGGACTATCCCAATGACCATTTTTGCCAAACCCCATACTATCACCAAAAGGTAGCTTCTACGCCAGTAACCGCAAATAACTGTGCAATTCTTGACTTTGTAAGTTATTTTTCTTTAGTGTGTTGAAATATGCTGCTTTTTTTTTTTTACTCCACTGCAAAATAATACGAATTTGGGATTTGCCTAGTATTGAAGAGAGTGCAGTGGCATATTATCAAGAGTATGGAATCATTTCTTTAAAGAAAATGTGCGTTAATGACCACAATATGGCATTGTATATCAAAACTCATATGCAGTGTAAAGGGGTGCGATAAACAAATAGCTATTCGAAAAGGCACATGGTTGCAGGGCTCAACACTCCCATTTCTGACTGCTCATCGGTTTATTTACTGCTGGTCGTGAGAATTAACATCAGTCGAATGGGGGGAAAACAGCTTGATTCAACAGGAAAGACAATTGTTGATTGGAACAGTTATATGAGGTTAGTGTACACTCATAGCCTTCAGTTACATGATATGAAACAAATAGAAGATCCGAACAAAATTGCAGAGATAGATGAGAGCCTTTTTACAAAGCGCCAAAACCAAGTTGATTGTATTCTTCCAGAACAATGGAAATGAGTGTTTCATTGTAAAGGTTCCCAATCGAAATGCAGTAACTCTAATAGCTGAAATTAGGAACAGCATCAGCATTGCGGAAGGAACTACAATTTTCTCAGACTCGTGGAAAAGTTACAAAACTGATGAATTGGAAGCAGCGGTATTCCAGAACTTTAAAGTGAATCACCGCTATGATTTTGTGGATCCTAAAATTGGTATACATACACAAAATGTAGAACGATGGTGGGGTTTGGCAAAATGGAGAAACAAGAAACACTGTGAAACTACCCAAAAATACTTGGATTCATATTTAAACAAATTTATGTGAGGCTGAGTGTGCACTAAGATAATGACTTGTTTGTTTACGCTTTAAAAGCTATCAAGGATTATTGGCTGCCGAAATGATTTATAATAATATATATGGTTATATTTAAGAAACATTCAAGTGTAATTATAAAAAAAAAAATGTTGGTTTTTAATTTGTTTTGATTCTTTTATTACACTTTTTTATTACATGTTATTACACTTTCCTTTTTTTGTTATTATTATTTGATAAAATAATGAATTTGGAGATTGAATATAGAACGATTTGTCAAACCCCATAATCATGTTTAGAATGTTTATTTTGGAAATCGCTTTTCATTAAAGCAAAAGGATTACGCCAAAGGATTTGCGCATTTTCACGATCGTTTACAGGTTGATGGGATAATCTTAAAGTATCAGATAAAATAATACCCAGCGATATGTAAGCAAAGTTTGTACTTCTTAATAATTTATATCTTTATTTTCCCAGTAATTTATCTAATTGAAATTGCTGCGTGTGTACGGGTTGTTGGATTGAATTCACACAGAACCAGTGATAGTTTGATAAAATTTATTTTCACAAAAGAAAACTTTACAGTCCTGGAATTTTCCATAAAAGTGTTCATTTGGCTCTTTTCTGTACAATAGAGCATAATTAATATTTGCCACTTCAAACCACTAAGGACATTAAATGCAAAGCGAAGCTCGCACAGAGATCTCTGGATGCTCCAAAGTCAGCTCTGAACTAAAAACTGAGAATTGATAATCTTTCCTGGGCAGAGAATTTATCAGTACCTTTGATTTCTCGAAATTACTGGAAGGCATATACGAGTAAAGTTATATATAAGTGCCGGAGATATGATAGCAGTTACATATAGGGATCAATTACAATTATGCAGGGACTGGAACAAAATTTTGCCGAATGGGTGCCAAATTTGGCTACGTTTGGCGATTTCTTGCCAAATTTGTCGCTGAAACCATCCCCAGCTTGGAATCTCCATGCTGGGGATCTATCTGTGTCTCCAAATTGGCGAGATAGTCAGTTACCACAATGTTAAATGAACTTGCTGGTGTAATTCTTTTTTTCCTGTAGATCTTCGCATTTCTCAGGCGTTTTATGTTACATTATACAGAAGTTACTATAATTTTGCACATAATTTCACTAAAATTATTTACATTGTAACGTTACCTTTCTCTGAAGAACACTTGGTCACCCATCCTAAAGGAAGGGGCAGAGAACCCTCTTCTCGCCTTGGCTGGAAGACTCCACCCACCCCCACCCCCGGTTGTAGGTGGGAATAAAGAGAGATTGAGATGTGGAAGAGAAAAGAGTGGACACTAGATTGCGTGCTCTACTGTAGTGAAAATGTATTTTAAAGTTTTCTCAAATGTAATCTGTACATAGTTGTATATAGTTGCTCCATTGCTAGATCATTTCCCTCCTTTCAAAAACTCAAAAAATATATTTTGCATTTAACTAAATTTAGATGCTTTTTTTTATCTTGTTTTATAAATTAAACAATAAAAGGTATACAAAATATTAATAAATATGGAAGCTTGAAGAAAAGAAGTTTTTTTGTATTCATAAGCTAAAACTAAGACCGCATTACCCTCGAGGGGAGAAATTCCCCGCGTTTGAGACCCTGCTGTAAAAGATGCATCTTTTTAATTTCCAATATACTTATTAACTGGGAATTTATATAATTCTACTAATGTATAATGTTTTCTTATGTAGTATTATATACGAGGGCCATCCAGGAAGTAGATTACGTTTCCGTCTGTGTCCGCTAGGGGCGGGGCTAGCGCGGCCATCTTGGGGTCAGAGCGTTGCGCAGCTCAGTCTGCATCTAGCCGTGCTAGTGAGAGGTTCGTGCTGTGCTCCGTTCAGATACTGTGACGGTTTGAAATGTCTGCGTTAATTGAAAATCCCGCGAGCTGCGAGGTGCGCTCAGTAATAAGGTTTCTGACTGCAAAAAACTGTAAACCGATAGAAATCTATCGGCAGCTTCGTGAAGTGTATGGGGACAACATTATCACTGAAGGTGGAGTGCGTCAGTGGGTCATAAGATTTCAAAATGGCCGAACCAATGTTCACGACGAAGATCGAAGTGGGAGACCCAGCATAGTGACCGCCGAACTTCTCGAAAAAGTCGATGCTAAAGTCCGTGAAAATCGAAATTTCACAATAACGGAACTTTCTTTGAGTTTTCCACAAATTTCGCGAAGTTTGTTGCACGAAATCATCAGCGAAAAGCTTGGTTACCACAAGTTTTGTGCAAGATGGATTCCAAAAATCTTGACAGAGGACCACAAAAATCAGCGAATGGCTGCAGCGTTGAACTTTTTGGACGCTTACCATAAGGATGGTGACTCTTTACTCGATCGCATCGTTACTGGTGACGAAACATGGGTGAAACATGTGAACTGTGAAACGAAATTGCAATCAATGCAGTGGGGGCACACAAGTTCTCCCCAAAAACCCAAGAAATGCATGCAAACAATGTCGGCAAGGAAGATGATGGCGACTGTTTTTTGGGACAGAAAAGGTGTAATTTTGGTGGACTTCCTGGAAAGAGGCACTACAATAAACTCTCAAAGGTATTGCCAAACTCTCCAAAAACTCAGAAGAGCAATTCAAAACAAGCGCAGAGGAATGTTGAGCTCTAAGATCTTGTTGATTCACGACAACGCCCGGCCCCACACGGCAAATGTCACTCGTAAAGTTCTTGAATCTTTTAAGTGGGAGTTGTTTCCTCATCCGCCGTACAGTCCCGACCTGGCACCGAGCGACTTCCACCTATTCCCAGCAATGAAGAAGTGGCTGGCTATGCAGCGTTTTGATGACGACGCACAGCTGCAAGAAGAGGTAACGAAGTGGTTGAAGGCGCAGGCGGCCGAATTTTTCGACGAAGGAATTTCCAAGCTCGTACATCGCTACGATAAATGCCTTAATTTGTATGGTGACTATGTAGAAAAGTAGTATTTGAGTGTGGCTTTCATCTGTATATAATAAAATTTGTTTCCTATACTTTGTTTATTTTTTATTCCAAAACGTAATCTACTTTCTGGATTAGCCCTATTTGTTAACATCCAATGGTTTCCGAAATCCTTATTAAGATGAATGTAAAATAAAAATAAAATTTATAAATAATTTAATAAATAAAATAATATAAATTTAAATAATAAAGTATAAAAATAATAAATAAAATTAATATAAATAATAAATATAATAAAAATTTTGCTCATTTTTTTTATTTACTCTTGAAAAATAAAAAGATTTCATATGTAATATATGGCAATCATAATCCTTGTTAAGATTACTTATTAATTTAACTATTTAATTATTTTCCTCTGGAATTTCATATTTACATTCAACTGAAGAAAGTGTTTATTCAAGTGAACCAGCTTTTGTAAAGATGAAAGCTCTTTCTCATTTGTAATTAATTTTGGTGATTTTCTGTTTGTGAGGTGCCAGCAGCCAAATGTGGTAGCCTGTTTGCATTGCACTAGGAATAGAATCGTTGCAAAAATGTGGGAAGTTGAACATCAGTCTGTAGAGACATTAGGTTAACTGGAAAAACCAAAGAGATGAAAATTTAGCAACCGCCTTCGCCGGGAGTCGAACCACGGAGCTCTGGAATACCGGCCCAGCATGCAGAACCACTACACCACGAAGGCACGCTAGGAAAGCGGGAGAAATACCTTATAAATCCTGTAAATTTCTCTCCTAGGTTTTCATTTGCTTTTTTTATTAAAGCAGAGATAGCTATTCTTCACTGAATTTATGTAATTCTCTTGTGTTCTTTTAAGCAAAAATGGATCCCTGTGTACACGAAACAGTATTCATTTCTCAGTTCTTTTAGTTTTTTATTTCGACTTCAGTAATTGTATTTGCACGTCATAATTCACATTGTAGTTTATCATCAGTTAATTCACAGGCTGAAGTTGATCCAAAAGCATTCGTAACTTTTTGTTCCATATTTAATAAATTTCATAAATTCTGCCATGAGTGGTGGGGTGGACATCCCTGGTTAATACAGGGAAAAAGAAGTATTTTGTTCTATAAAGGTAATAAGTGGTGCAGTAATATTCGTTTCATTTGATCAACAGCTGAATCTTTTTTTCAGTTAAGCTATTTAACTTGGAACAAAATTGTCATGACTGTCTTTTTTCTATATTTACCACTTATCAATGTTACTACATGAGTTTAACTATATGAATTATATGTTTTAGTTAAAAAGGAGTAGATTGGCACCAGAACAGTCATGGCAAAAGTGAGACGTAAAATAAATTAGCAGTTGCTATGAATTACATTTCATTTTTAAATTCCTACTATTAGCTGACACTCTCCCTATATCTTGTTCAAATTTAAAAGTGAGCCTCAAAATAAATTAGCAGTTGCTCTGAATGACATTTCTTTACCCTACTATTAGCTGACACTCTCCTAATCTGTCAAATTTCAGTGATAATAAAATACTTTTTATTCATCCACTCAGTTCAAATACATTTTTTTAAACTGTGTGGATGACACTCAGTTAATATGTTTTTTTTTTTCTATTAAGCAATTCCCACTATTTCTTGTTCATCAGAATAAGGTAGACGTTTTTTAAATATATGAGAAACTATATGAGAAACACAAATACATTTATAGGAATTCTCACTTGCTGTAAAAATTAATTTTATAACAACTTATAAATAATAGTACATGACTGATAAATAATAATTGTAATATTTAACAAAAATAAGAGGCAACAGTGAGACAGAGTTCTAAATACTTTTAAAGTGTATGGAATTAAAGAATTGTAGTTTTATAGAGTTGCATGAAGCGGATGTACTGTCCTATTCTGTAGTGAAAATTCTCCCCCTGTTTCCAGAGCTGTGGAATCAGAGTTGGGTAGATTTTTGGGTAAAAGGAGTCTTGAGTTGGAGTCACTAAAAACACGTCAACTCCAGTTTTTGTTGGACAGTTTGAATTTGAAATGAAACTAAAGTGAATTTAAAAGCAAATTAATGACAAACTGAGTTAATATTTTTATTTATGAACTAAATACATTAATCAATAGTTATTTTCTATTTTATTGACATATTAATAAATAAATATAAAGGAACAGGATGGACGTGATATTTGCCATTATTTGAATAAACTGATTAATTTATTTACAAATCGCGTTGCCAAATTTAGGTAATCAGCAGTAGCAGTAAGAACTGCCAAAATTGATAAAATTGATGCCATTTTTAAGGGTCGTTCCTTCTGGGGTTTATCAGAGCTAATGGAGACAAATGACATAGCGGACCCCTCCAAGACCAGTTCTTTCTCTAGGGGAGCAGAAATGTCTTTCCATGACAGAAAAATCTGAACTGCAGGCATAGTGAAGTTAGTCGACACATGGAACTGACTCCGTTAGCTCAGATAAATCCCAGTGGGAATGGCCCTTTAGGAAGCAAGCAGGAAAAGGAGCTATTATTGATCGAGCAATGCGATGGAGAAGTATATTGGCTTATATGGGGGTTGTTGAATTAGAAATTCTTCAGAAAGATGTAGATAGCTAATGTTTATACAGAAAAAGACTGTGAATGATTGCAGAATTGGAAACTTTTTTCACACCTATATAGTCACAAAAAAGCTGCGTGAAGAATTAACAGAGACAAGAATGTTAGGAAGATGTAGATAACCTAATGTTCACTAACAGAAGATGTGGAATGATCTTTTGAGAATTACGGCGGCGAGAATGAAGAATGAGGGTGGTTCTTTCGAAATTGTGTGTTTATTGCAGAAGGAATCATTCTCAATGAGAGACAGAGACGACTTTGCTAGACAATAGGTCTGCTGCGTTAATATATATAGATCCAAATGCGAATTTGTTGGATGAAAAAATTAAAAAAGCAAAGAAAGCATTGTGAACTTCATGAAATTATTTCAGAACAATGGAGTATTCAAACAGGAGTCAACTGCAGACATTGAATGAGTCTCTATATCCTCTTTCCTGGTGAATTAGATTTTGAGAAATTTTGGCTTATAAAAGGCTAAGGAAAGGGATGAAAATAAGAACTATGAGCCTTAGATACAAATGAAGAATACAAACAAGAGATGTCTGGCTTTAAAGAAATAGAGAAATATGATTGCTTGCAGACACCTTTTAGAATGTAAAAATCTATCCTGAAGGTTAAAGGAAGTAGCCCTAACTGTAACAGCTATTCTCTTACTCAGTGAGTTGGAAAATCTCTCAATATGAAGTTTATCATACGGATCTGTGGACTCAACAAGAAGATCTTGCCGAAGTTATACTGTTTCTTAGAAATTACTAATGCCAGTTTTTCCATTTCATAATATATGCTAATTAATATATAAAAATTTGCTATGCATCAATTTTTTTCTGTTGCATCTATTACTTCTTTTATATAAAAAAAAATAAGCTGTAACCTATATGTATATGTTTACATATATATGAGGGAGTCGAAGTTGAAGTCTTTAAAACTCCAGTAGTCAAGAGTCAGTCATTTTCCCTACAGACTCCACAGCCCTGCCTATTTCTATGTTAATGTGATAATAATATATGTTTAAAATATAACCCTTTAAAATGGCCCTTGCTTTGTACATAAGATGAAAGTAGCGCTGCCGCTTATGCAGTAATATATCTAGGATGAAAATTCTTCGCAGCAGGTCAAGCATATGTCGCCTTGAGTCACGTGAAATTATTAGATGGAATATTAATTAATGAACTGAACTACTTGAAACTCACTGGAAAGGTTCCTTGCAATAATGAAGCATTAGAAAGAAGAGATGGATAGAATGAGAAATTATAGTTTCATCCATCAGCTTCATAAATTAGAAATGAAAAAATGTTAATAAAAAGTAACTAAAATAAATTTTTTCTTTGTTGACCTAAGTAGGAATTGAAAAAAAAAAAAAATCTTTTGTATTACTTATTTGGGATATTACAGCAAAATGTAATGCTATCATTTGTATTGTTCTTAACGTAATTAAGCTAATTATCACCATTTTTATTATTGCTGATAAGTAAACTTTCTCATTTGTTTCGAATTTAGATGAGCACATTTTGTTGAAAATTTAATGCATAATAAAAAAAAATATACTTAAATTTCTAATTATTTCTTTGTTAATTTAAATAGGTAATCTTCTTTTTCTTGGGCATGCAGCAACTTTAGATACGTGCAGCAGACAGCTGACAGAAAAACCTCCAAGGAATAACCACGAAATGCAAGGTTTACTGCTTTACTGCCCATATGCAAGCGTCACAGTGGTTGAAGAAAATCCTCAGGGAAAATGGCATTTAGTTGATCCTCCTTTTCCACCATTGCAACATTCAAATAATTGTAGTTTTCAATGGCAAATTCTCCTTTGATATTCAGCTTATGGTGATTGAAGCATTTTGCTACTTATGAATTACCACAACCGCTTTGGAGCTATTTGGCTAATTTTTACAGATGCAAAGCTAAAAGGCACTTATCGGGTACATGTTGAGGATCTTTGCGACTTTTTTAAAAAGATTCACAAACTATAAATATGTATCGTAATTCAGCAGACTTTATCAGTATATGAAAAGTCAACATACTTTAAGCAATTTAAAATGCAAATTTTAATTATTAAATGAGGACTGTGTGATACATTTAAAAAAAAAAAAAAGTACTTTTTTCTTCAAATCTTTCTTTCTTTCTTTCTTTCTCTCTTTTTTTTTTTTTTTTTAAAGGTCTAGAAGGGCTTTTAATTCTGTTTTGACATTTTGCGTCAAAAACTTTAAATGTCTGTTTCACTTTTCAAATTGTTACCACCAAATACTATCACCCTGTGTTATATTTAAAGAAATTAAATAATGAAGAATCTGCATAAATATATGTATGTTTCTCGCATTCTGATGAAACAACGGCACCAAGAGACATCAAATTTTGAATAACTTAAACCTCCACCAAATATGGGCAGCCCTAATTTGGAATCTTTTTATTAGTGATTTCATATTCTGTAATACTATTATGAATTTTTGATTAACAAACTCAAGGATTTCAAAGTGAACAATGGCAACACTGTAGGAAAAAAACATTTTTGTCTCCAACACGCGAGACTGTGTATCGGAAATTCTAAAGGAAGGCTCATTTTAAAATTATTTTGCGATATTGCCATTGAATTGAATTTTTTGGTCTAAGTACATGATATTTAATAAGTAAAGGTTACACACAAAATGTTAACAAAATGCCCCTGTGGGCATAATATAAAATCTGATATCTTTCGGATTTTTAAAAATTTTTAAGAGCTTTACCTGGCTGCTTTTTTTTTTTTTTTTTTTGTGTGTGTGTGTGTGTGTTTCTTTTTCTTAAGTACACAGCAATTGTTTTCAGGCAAAAAGAATCAGAATAACATTGCATAAACCTCAGCAACAGCAACTCTGTACCAGACACATATTCCTTACTGCTGCTTTAAGATTTTGTGTCACAGCTGTATATATCTGCAAAAATTTACTGAAGTTTTGTCCGTTGTTGCAAATTCCACAGCGCATATTTTAAAATTAAGTTTAAGGCAAAAAAGTATCAGGATTTGTTTATAAAAACCGTTTGAATATAGAATACATGCAAGAATGCAAATGTTACTCGATTAAAAGATTGTTAGGAATATGGTTCCCTGAAGAATGGTGATGCACGTGGTTGCCAGAGTTTAACATATTCTGAAAATTTGTTGACTTCTACTAAGGTGGTTGTGATAACACGTAAGTAGCAGTATTCATTCTTCTGAGAATATTTTTGCTAAACGGAGTAAAAAAATTATGGAACTTCGAAATCATAATAATGAAAAAACACTAAAATTATTATGTTCAGTTATATTCAAATCAAAATACATAAAAATTATAGGTAAATAAATATTTAACTGAGTTATCAAAGTTGCTTAGAGGAGGAAAACATAAAATTAAAAAAAATAATAATAATACAGTTTAATAAAGTGAGTCCATTTATTAGCAAAGAAAACATGTAATGTGGTTAGGAGAACTGACCATTCTTAACATTCATTTGTGCTAAGACTTGTTTAAGATATGGATATTTTGTTATCATTACCAGATTAAAAATTATGTTTTGTTCTTTTAAAGTAATTATGTATTCGTTTTGTATTCTATTTATGTATGACTTCTCAGTTTTGTTCCTTCCTGCAAGTAGCAGTTAGGCTGTTACTACTTTTTATTGCATTCTCAATTATTTAATAAATCTTGTTTTTATCTTATAAAAATGTTGTTTGCAATTCTATTATTTGTGTTAGCATTGATAGTTAAACAGATTCTGGTTTTTATTATCAAATTACATGTTTAAAGATATTTCTTGTGAATGGAAGCTTGTGATTTTGTATTCGAGTGTATCCCTTAAAATTTGAGCTTTATTATTTAAAGTTAAATGAAAAAAAAAAAGATCGTTTTTATTGTATTACATTCTTGATATTATTATTATGCCCAACATCCCCCCCCATTTCTACTTTCTAATATATTATACTGTTATCATTCTCATGAGGATATTAAAATTATTAAGAAAGGACATTATAAAGGAACCTTCTTCACAAACTTTATTTGCTTCACTACAAATCACTAATGATGAAATCAAGTGTCTCTTTTTGGAAGCGGTACAGTAGGCCAGTGGAATAACTGAAATCTTGAAAGTCTAAATTTGTTTGCAGTCTCATTTGCTTTTGACTGAATTATAGGTCTTTTTAAAGATACACTGGAAGAGTGCATGTGATTCAACCACTCTAGAAGTAAAGTTTCAAGATCTTCGTATTTAGCACTCTAAAATCAATTAGATTTGTTTCTGGAACCCATATGCAACAGCATTAAGAAATTTTTAGGGTATTTAAGTATTGATTGAGTAGTATTGGTAGATTGGCAGTTCCATACATTTCAGCAGTTGTACTCTTCAATACACCACAGCCAATTTCCTCTAGGATTTTTAGTTTTGTTTGCAGATCAATGCCTGTCTTCTTTCTAACTGCTTGCAGTTTGACGTTGGCTGTCACATCCCGAAAGTTTCCACAGTGCCATCGAGGTGTCTGTCGAAATGTGTGAGTTTACGAAGCAACACACTTAATGCGAGTGAGCAATGTACCTCAAGACGTATAATAAAATGCAGACGATATAGCAAATGGCAATTGTTTATCAACACGGCTACTGATTGACAGGCTATTTTTAGGTAGCCTCGAGGGAAAAGCGATTAATAGGCTATCAGTTGGTACGTGTTGGCGAAAGAAAGTTGATTACAGTCAAAAGTCGTAAATCCGGACTCATCGGGACTTCGCCGATTCCGGATTATCGATTTTTCGGATTATGATGCCTCAGTTAATTGTAGAGGGCATCAGAACTTGCAATTCCCCATCTGCCAACCGTAATGGTGAATAAGACCAATTGATTAAAGGTTCAAATTAAACAAAAAGCGTAATTTATTGGTTACTTATTCAACATTTTCATGTAAGTGTAGTTCCTTTTTTATGTAAGATAACTTTTTATCTATCAACAGCCATAATTTCTGTTCGTACAAAGTTCGCTGTTCAGTCTATATGCTGTGTCGAGAATACCGACTAATTGTCAATCGAAATTTTTCATTTTCATAACTTGTACTTTCTTATCTACCAGAATTATAATGACAGGCTTGCTTTAATCTACAGCTGATACATCCAGATGCACTACTTTCGAAGGCCTATCAGCCCTCCCCTCCCCTTCTCCCTGAAGCTACGGTAGGCTAAAAGACACTTCCATTTTGGCGCCGCGCGGTCAGATAACCAAGGTGAATAAACCCAGGATAGCTTATCATTTGGCAGCATGCACTTTGTTAAGGACTGAAACTAACTGTGGCTTTGTAATCTTTCATATTATAAAATATATCGGCTTTCTTTTAATCCGAATTCAGCTTATTTTATCCCCATGCTCTACAATCTGCAAAAAATAAGTGATCATTCGAAGATTAAGGAACAACGCATCTGAACATTACTGAATTATATATTTTTAGCTCGTTATACAGTCGTATGCTTACAACGTATCGTAAACGTATATGCGCCACGCAGATTGCAGCCGTAAAGTCTTCGCGCTGCGTCGTGCGGCATGGAGAAAGTTTGTAGCTTTGAGTCGGATTTGGGTGTGCGAATAAGTTTGCATGTCTTATAGCATTATGTTTTTCTTCCGATCTGTTTTCCTCAAAAACATCCAACGTGCACAATCGCGCATCATGTGCGGTTATTTCTTTTTATCTTATTTGTTTCCCGTTCTTTGTGATGAAGTACTAACTACTGATTGTACTTGTCATATGAGAGAGCTGTTCGAGTCTTTTGTAAAAGCTCCAGACAGCCCGCCGCCAAGCCTAATCGGCACGTGTAAAATGCTGCGAGCGCCTTATTAGGGACGATATTTAAAGGGACATTGATTTTATGCGGTTACCATTTTAAAACGGACCTTATTAACATATAATATCAAAAAATTGCGTTTTATCTTTTGTCTAAATATGCAAATTTTATTGTACATTTGTTAAAAAACCCATACTGAAACTATTATTGAGAATTAGCATACATTTATGTTATAAAAGCTGCTCAACCTACTAAATGTTTAGCGTTGATGACTGCCATGCCAAAGGGCCCGGAGAAGACATAGATATTCGTAAACGTATAGTGTCTGTGTGGCATGGGAGCAGTATAACTATGTGAGGCGAAAGTCCTCTCAAAAGGTCAGTGGTAGGGTTGGAGGGGAGGGAGACAGTCCAAATTGTCCCCCAAGGCACTCTCCATCAAAACTGGGGGCGAAACTGAGCTAAATCGCATTGTCGCCTCTAAGGTGCTCAATGCTGTTGCCAACAGCAGGCATATCTTGCACTCCTTGCCACGAGGAATTTCGTGGGCTTGGGCTGACTATAGGTATGGTAACTGAGCATTAGTCAACAACATTTTATAAAAAAGTAACACTGCAAGCGAAGCGAATTAATATACTAAACGCATTGGATAAATATATTGCTAAACATTATTTATTATCTTAAAATTAGAAACAAATTAATATACGTATCTAATATATTTGCACTGAATAATTTTTTTTTTTTTTTTCTGCATATATTACGGAAATGGAGTATAAAATGTTAGTAAATTTATTTAAAGATGAGGGGAGATCCAAAAGGGTTTCCCCCTGAGATAAATTCAATATACATATATAAATCCCCTCAAAAAGATTTTACATTTTTCTTGAAAACGCTAAGTGAAAAAAATTTCCTTGTATGATTCGTTTTAAAGTTGCTTATTTTTGATATTTTATATTTCTTTTTGGCTCGCTCCTAGAAGATTGGAAAAGCTGAGGTTGTGCAATTCTCTGATGTT